CCCTTCAGTCTTCTATCTGACCTCCGTCCTCCCCTTCAGTCTTCTATCTGACCTCCGTCCTCCCCTTCAGTCTTCTATCTGACCTCCGTCCTTCCCTCCTGAGTTCAGGTGACAATCTGGCCCCGCCATCATCCTGTTGGCGGTCAGGCGTGTGTGTGCGGCGCGCGCCGTTCTCCAGAGCGACGTTTTGTTTTGTTTCCTGCGGATTCATGTCACGCTGTCGCTCTCCCTCGTGAGGCCGTCCCATTAGCGGGAATGTCACAGACACAATGCGAGATGACAATCACCGAGGTGTCGCCCCTCCGCGCTGTCTCTGCAATGTCACCGCCGCCGTTGCGCGCCGCCGATATCACACGCGGTTAAGTGACAGCCGTGTCATCTGCAATCCAGTCGACTCTCTGACACCCGCCGGAAAAAAACAAATATAAGGAGACGAGACGTAAACTCTGCGTTCTATTTACTGCTCGGAGGGACGCCGCAAAGTCCACGGGAAATTATTTGATCGATTTTTCATATTTCCTCCGTAAAGGACGGCGGCCTCCGATCCAGATACATGGTATAAAACAGGGCGGGGCTTATCTCATTGTCAAATCACAGCGGGAGAGAGATTCATTCTCCCAAGCTGAGATCACATGACACAGATCAGCCCCTTGCTGCAGCCTCTCACCTTTTGACCTGCTGGAAAATTAAAATGTTGCAGTCTGATCACTGGGGGAGGGGAGACCGAGGAAATGCTTCCTCCTGCCTGCAGCAGACTGATCACTGGGGGAGGGGAGGCTGAGGAAATGCTTCCTCCTGCCTGCAGCAGACTGATCACTGGGGGAGGGGAGGCTGAGGAAATGCTTCCTCCTGCCTGCAGCAGACTGATCTCTGAGGAAATGCTTCCTCCTGCCTGCAGCAGGCTGATCACTGGGGGGAGGGGAGGCTGAGGAAATGCTTCCTCCTGCCTGCGGCAGGCTGATCACTGGGGGAGGGGAGACTGAGGAAATGCTTCCTCCTGCCTGCAGCAGGCTGATCACTGGGGGGAGGGGAGACTGAGGAAATGCTTCCTCCTGCCTGCAGCAGGCTGATCACTGGGGGGAGGGGAGGCTGATGAGGGGAAAATGATGTGTCAGGAGTTTATTCTCGCAGACTTGTATGGACAGGTCCTCTTTACTGTTCTCTCTGATTTCGGGGTATTTTCCTTCAGAATGTTACATTGTATTTCCCGGACACAACCCTCCCCCGACAATGGCCGGCCGCCAGCAGCAGGTTCCCGGAGTACTGCGGCGTGTCGCGGGCGAGCGTTATACAATGAGCACGCACCTTCGGTTCTCTCGTCCTACCTGTTCATCTCCTCCAGACAATCCGTCGCAAAGAAGAAACTCTTAATCTTCGGGTGACACGCTTTGAAGGCGCTGCGAAGGAAACACAAAAATATTCTCATTTCCTGGCAGCTGATGAGGAGAGCGAAACGCGCCGGAGGTGACGATGTACCGCTCCCGCTCATAGCACACACATGTGACACAATCATACAATGTGACACAATCATACAATGTG